GCAGTAGAGAACTATGTGAAGAAATAGTGCTTAAAAAAGGCATCCAAATGTTGGCGAGCTGCATGTTGCGCAGAGGCCTATCCTTGCACAGGTTCAGCTAGCAAATGCACAAACATGCGCCCCTAGGAAATAAGATGTAGTAGGGATTGTGTGAAGAAATAGTGCTAAGAAAGAAAGGCATCCAGACGTTGGCAAGCGCACCGTTGCGCACCTGCCTATCCTTGCACAGATTGAGGCCACACAAACGCAACGACATGCGCTTACGTTGTCGCGCATGTCAAACATTGCATGTTTATATTGTCTAGGCTGTAGTGGGTTACACCTTAGGGGGTACACAAAGTTAGGGTTTCCTACTTGTACCAAACTCTGTTCTAGTTCATTCATTCCTGCTCAGTTATTTCTGACATGGTTTCAGAGCAGGTCCTTCGCTAGGACTGTTCTTAGGGCCCACCGACTTACCTACCTGCTTACCTTCGCTTGTTTCCGGCCCCGCTGGCCCCGTCGATCTAGCACGATCTAGCGGCCCTGCGGCCCCGTCGAACTTTTTTTTCCTAGCGGCCTCTCACGGCCCCCGTCGCGTCGCCCCTTAGCGCGCCCTGATCGGCCCCGTCACGCCGCCCGCGAACCGCACAGCGCGCCGCGCTCACAGCCCGCGAACCGCCCGCGCACAGCCGCGGACAGCCCGCAGGCCCGCGCACCGCCGCGAACTGCCCGCGAGCAGCCCGCGACCTGCCCGCGAACCCCCGCGAGCCGCCGCGAACCCCGCGAGCCGCCCGCGACCCGCTTACGCAGCCCGCGAGCAGCCCGCACAGCCCGCGCTGAGCCTGCGCGCCCTTGTCGTGCGCTGACCGCCGCCGGCCCGCACGCTGCCCGCACTTGCTCCGGCCCGCCGCTGCTGAGCCCGCAGCCGCCCGCGCACCGCCGCTGCTTAAAACCGCCGCCGCCCGCGCACCGCCGCTGCTGAGCCCGCCGCCGCCCGCGTATCACCGCTGCTGAGCCCGCCCCTGCTGCGCCGGCTCTCGCTGCCGCCTGCTGCGCCTGTGCACCACTGCAGATCCTACTACTACACTTCCTGCTACTGCTGCTTGTGCGCCACTACAGTCCGTAGGCCCCACCGGCCCCGCTGACCCTGCGCACGCCTGTTCAGTGACTTTACTGCTTCTACTACTGCCGCTGTCGCTATGGCTAGTCCTCCTGTTCTAGCTTTCGACGCCGAGGGCCGTCCGGTCAAATTCGAAACCTGGCTAGATGACCTGCACCTTTTCCTACAGCTCACTGCCAAGGAAGATATTACACTGTACGACCACGCTCTCGGCCATGCGACCGCCCCACTCGCTACTGCCCCCCCAGCTGAGCGCTCACAGTGGCAGACCCGTGACGCGCACGCTCGCTTTGCTATTCGCAACTCCCTGCCGCTAGATGAGCGCGAGCACTTCGGCCAGTGCAAGACTGCTAAGGACCTCTACACAGCTGTAGTGGCCCGCTACTCCTCACCCGCTTCTGCCACACTAGGCCGCCTCACTCTCCCCTACCTGTTCCCCGACCTAGCCTCTTTTCACACTGTCGCAGACCTCATCACCCACCTTAAGACTAGTGAGGCTCGCTTTCGCGCTGCCATGCCTGATGAGTTCCTCGCTAGCAACCCCCCCCCCGCTCTGGATCACCCTCTACCACGTTGTCACCCGCCTCCCTGACTCTCTGCGCCCTGTCAGGGACCAGTTCCTCTCTCGCTCCCCCACTGAGCTCACCATAGCCCTCCTCGAGAAGGAACTGCTTGCAGCCGAGGCTAGTATCGTCGCTGTAGGCACCTCTCGTGGCGACCCCCGCGGCCCCTTCTTCGAGGGGTGCTCCCCTTCCCCCCTCCTCCCCTCTGTCGCCTCTGCTGCTGCTGTCGACCTCCTTGGTGCTGAGAAGGTCGGGACTGCGTCTGCTTCAGGCGGACGACGCAGGGGCAGGAGTGGCAGGAGTGGGGGTGGTGGCGGAGGAGGCGGGGGTGGAGGTGGTGGCGGTGGAGGTGCGACTGGAGAGGCTAGTGGCGGCGGTGGTGGAGGTGACAGCGGTGTTGGGAGTGGTGACAGGGGCGGAGGTGGCAGCGGAGGCGGAGGTGGTCGTGGCAGCGGCAGGGGAGGAGGTGGCCGGGGCGGAGGCGGAGGGGGTGGTGGTCGTGGAGGCCCGGGGGGCGGTCAGAGTCAGCAGCCTGCCCCGACCCTTCAGGCCGCCCGTGAGTGGTATGCGCGGCGCAGCGTCACCTGCCAGTACGTTATTCGTACAGGTGACCGCACTGGCCAGACGTGTGGGGGGCCGCACCAGACGGAGCGCTGCTTCGCCCGCCTCAACGATGCGTGGCGCACTCAGTTTCCTGGTGGGGGTGAGCTGCCGCGCTGGGCTGATCTGCTCAGGAAGGGTGTTGATATTTGGGCACTTGACTTTGATGCTATTCTCACTGCCATGTATGCGATGTCTATTAGTGGAGAGGGTGCTCAGTACTTGCGTGTTCCGCCCGACCCGGGCATTCAGGCCAGCCCCGCTGCTGCTCTAGGTGCTAGTGTGTCTGCTTCCACAGGTACTTCTGCAGCTGCTGCTCTAGGTGCTTGTGCGTCTGTGCCCCCTGGTACTGAGTCGACTGCAGCACTGCACACCTTCACACTGGACTCAGGTGCTTCTCGCTCTTTCTTTCGTGACCGCACTGTCCTTGAGCCTCTAGCTCGGCCGGTTGCTGTCTCTCTTGCTGACCCCTCTGGGGGTCCGGTCCTTGCGACCTCCTCCACCACCCTTCCGTGTCCAGCGGTTCCGTCCGGCACGCTCTCAGGTCTCTAATCCCCTCGTTCTCCACGAACTTGGTGGCAGGTAGTGCGCTCCAGGACTCGGGTGTTCACCAGTTCACCCCTGCCTACGAGCGTGTGACTCACTGCACGTGTGCTCGGACGGGCCGCCACCTAGCTACTTTCACTCGAGAGCCGGGGTCTGACCTGTACACACTGACCACTGAGTCCCCTCAGGTAGCTGCGTCTGCGTCAGCGTCAGGTCAGCTGTCCGCCCCCTGCTCGTGTCGCTCTCTGGCGAACGACACCGTCCTCTGGCACCACCGCCTTGGTCACCCGTCTGTGCAGCGCCTGCGGGCCATGCACAAACGGGACCTTGTTGCTGGTCTTCCCAGGGTGCTCCCTCCCCTTCCTGACTCCCCTGCTCCTGACTGCATTCCCTGTGTCGAGGGGCGGCAGCGCGCTGCTCCTCACTCCTCCTCCTTTCCCCCGACGACCGCTCCCCTGCAGACACTCCACATGGACGTGTGGGGCCCGGCCCGCGTCCGTGGTCAGGGTCAGGAGAGGTACTTCCTGATAGTTGTTGACGACTACTCGCGCTACACCACGGTCTTCCCCTTGCGCGCCAAGGGTGACGTCCCTGGTGTTTTGATCCCCTGGATCAGCCGAGCCCGTCTCCAGCTAGGCGAGCGCTTTCACTCGGACTTTCCTGTCCTGCGCTTGCACTCTGACAGGGGTGGTGAGTTCGCCTCCGACCTCTTGGCAGCCTACTGTGCTGAGCACGGCATTGAGCAGTCGTACACGCTTCCGGCCTCTCCACAGCAGAATGGGGTTGCTGAGCGCCGCATTGGCTTAGTCATGGAGGTCGCTCGTACCTCCCTGACCCATGCGGCTGCTCCCCACTTTCTGTGGCCGTTTGCGGTCCGGTACGCAGCGCATCAGCTCAACCTCTGGCCCCGTGTCTCCTTGCCGGAGACTTCCCCGACTCTACGGTGGACGGGAGAGGTTGGCGATGCGTCGCGTTTCCGGGTCTGGGGATCTCGAGCTTTTGTCCGCGACACGTCCGCGGACAAGCTCTCGCGTCGCACTGTTCCCTGTGTCTTTCTTGGCTTTGTTCCCGACGCGCCTGGATGGCAGTTTTACCACGTCACCTCGCGCCGGGTTCTGGCCTCTCAGGACGTCACTTTTGACGAGTCCGTCCCCTTCTACCGCCTCTTCCCCTACCGCACTGCCCCGCTCCCCCCCCCGCCTCTCTTCCTCGCTCCAGGTGCTGAGGTACCAGACCCCCTCCCCCCTCAGGGTGCCGCTCCCTCAGGTGTGTCCCAGGTAGACCCGGGTGAGCCTGTCGAGGTAGCTGTTGACTCGCGTCCTGCGTCTGGGGGTGCTGAGCCTGGGAGTGCTGCGTTTGAGGGTGCGGAGCCTGGGGGTGCTGAGCCTGGAGGTGCGGAGCCTGGGGGTGCTGAGCCTGGAGGTGCGGAGCCTGGAGGTGCGGAGCCTGGAGGTACTGAGCCTGGAGGTGTGGAGCCTGGGGGTGCGGAGCCTGGAGGTGCGGAGCCTGGAGGTGCTGAGTCTGGACGTGCTGAGTCTGGGGGTGCTGAGTCTGGGGGTGCTGAGCCTGAGCGTGCTCCACCTGGAGGAGCCCCCTCCTCCCAGCAGCTGCAGGAGAGGTACCTCGAGTACTGCCGCCTACGGAGAGGTGCTTCTGGAGCTCGTCCCGGTACTTCCCCTCCTACCCAGGAGCTCCCCCCCATTCAGGTGATCCGCGAGTGGTACACGCGGCGCTGCAGTCTTCGTAGTGGTGCTCCTGGTACTGCGGACCCGAGCGGTGGTGCTGTTGCTGGTGCTGAGGACCCGGACGCTGGAGCTGCTGCTGGTGCTGAGGACCCGGGGGCTGGAGCTGCTGCTGGTACTGAGGACCCGGGCGTTGGAGCTGCTGCTGGTGCTGAGGACCCGACCGGTGGCGCTGCTGCTGGTGCTGAGGACCTGACCAGTGGCCCTGCTGCTGGTGCTGAGGACCCGGACGTTGGAGCTGCTGCTGGTGCTGAGGACCCGACCGGTGGTGCTGCTGCTGGTGCTGAGGACTCGGGCGTTGGAGCTGCTGCTGGTGCTGAGGACTCGGGCGTTGGGGCTGCCACTGGTGTCCCTGCTGCTTCTGGAGACGCTGCGCGACCGCGACCGTACTTCGTACCGCTCCTTCAGCAGGTTCTTGGTCAGGCTCCTCCTCCTTGTCCTCCTCCCTCCGTCGAGTGTCCTCTGCCTGTCCAGCTGCAGTCACAGTTACCGCCTGTCTCGCCTCTCCCTGCTCCCTCCCCTTACGCTGGTCCCACAGGAGGTCTTACAGAGCGTCGTGAGCCTGAGTCTCGTCCTGCGTCGCCTGTTCGTACTGCTCGCACTGGTCGTCGTGTCCCACGTGAGCGTCCTCCTCCTGTCCCTGGCACTCACTACATGACTCTGCGTCCCTCCACTGCTCCGCAGCGTGTCCCGCTGCCGTCTCCTCCTGCGTCCTCTCTTCCTACTCTTCCTGACCCGGAGTCTGACTCCCGTCGTGCTGCCAGTCCCACTGTTACGCGTCTCCTCGCTACAGTTGTCACTGACCCGACCTTTGAGTCCTCTGCTGCGTCTGCTCTGGTCGCTGAGTTGGTTGACTTTGCTGCTCGCTGTCGCCTAGACTACGCTGCCAGCCTTGTCGCTAGGTCTGAGTCTGCGTCTGCCTGTCCTCCGTCCGTCGGGGGTGAGTGTGCCCTCGGCACGGACGTCCTTGAGGACAGACAGGAGGAGTTCCACTGCCTTGCTGCTGCTTTGCCCCGTCTCGTGTCCTTGCTAGTTGCCCCTGAGGGAGACCCGGATGCACCAGACATCCCGACCCCACGCTCTTACGCTGAGGCGATGGCGGGTCCCTACTCCTCTCAGTGGCAGACAGCCATGGACGCAGAGATGGCCTCCTGGAAGTCCACAGGCACCTACGTAGACGAGGTTCCCCCTCCTGGGGCGAACATCGTCAGTGGCATGTGGATTTTCAGGGTGAAGCGGCCGCCGGGTTCTCCACCTGTCTTCAAGGCGCGCTACGTGGCTCGAGGCTTCAGTCAGCGAGAGGGAGTTGACTTCTTTCAGACCTTCTCCCCCACCCCGAAGATGACTACTCTTCGGGTGCTGCTGCACATAGCCGCTCACCGCGACTACGAGCTTCACTCTCTTGACTTCAGCACTGCTTTCTTGCAGGGCAGCCTGCACGAGGAGATCTGGCTGCGCCGCCCCCCTGGCTTCACTGGGTCAGTTCCTCCTGGCACCCAGTGGAGGCTTCAGCGGCCGGTCTACGGTCTCCGCCAGGCGCCACGTGAGTGGCACGACACACTGAGGACGACACTTGCGGCTCTTGGGTTCGCTCCCTCTACTGCTGACCCGTCGCTGTTTCTACGCACCGACACCTCGCTGCCGCCGTTCTACATCCTCGTGTACGTCGACGACTTGGTCTTTGCCACTGCTGACACCGCGGCACTCGCTCACGTGAAGTCGGAGCTGCAGAGGAGACACACGTGCACAGACCTGGGTGAGCTGACGAGCTATCTTGGCTTGCGGATCACCCGGGACAGAGCACGGCGCACCATCACCCTGACTCAGTCACACATGGTGCAGCAGGTTCTCCAGCGCTTCCGCTTCACGTACTCCTCGCCTCAGTCCACTCCTCTGCCTACCGGTCACTCGCTCTCAGCTCTGCCTTCGGATGAGTCCGTAGAGCCGAGTGGCCCGTATCCAGAGCTTGTGGGCTGCCTCATGTACCTGATGACCTGCACTCGACCTGACCTTGCATACCCTCTTAGCATCCTAGCACGCTATGTCGCTCCTGGCCGTCACCGGAAGGAGCACATGGATGCTGCTAAGAGGGTGTTGCGCTACTTGTGCAGTACGTCGGGCATGGGGCTTGTGCTTGGAGGGCGAGACCGGGTTGTTCTCACAGGGCACTCAGACGCTTCTTGGGCGGACGACCAGGCTACTCAGCGGTCGTCCCAGGGTTACACCTTCAGCCTTGGCTCTGGCTCAGTTTCTTGGCGTTCTACTCGCTCTTCTTCTGTTCTCAGCTCCAGTTGTGAGGCTGAGATCTACGCCACAGCCATGGCTGCTCAGGAGCTACGCTGGCTGACCTACCTGCTGACCGACCTCGGAGAGCGGCCTCGTTCTCCTCCAGTGCTGTACGTCGACAACAAGGCTGCCATTGCCTTGTGTGAGGAGCACAGACTGGAGCACAGAACGAAGCACATCGCTCTGCGGTACTTCCTTGCTCGAGAGCTGCAGCAGCGTGGTCAGCTTTGTCTGCGTTACGTGGCCACGGAGGCCAACACTGCTGATGTGTTCACCAAGGCTCTTCAGCCTTGTGACCATCAGCGCTTTTGCACTCTACTAGGCCTTGTACCTACTGGGCCTCACTTGCTTACCTCTTGACCTTGCTTGTACTGTGATCACTATATATATATGCCTACTTGTTTACTTTTGCTAGGTTGTGATCACTGTATCTCTTGCTTTGTTATAAACCTGCATGTGAACTGGTCTTGTGACCGCTTGCTTGTGCTCGGAATTTGTGTGGAATCCTTGAGATCCACCCTGAGCTTGCTTTACTTTGCTTTGACTGGTCTTGTGACCCTGTGGTTGTCTCCCACTGCGCCTATGGGGGTGTGTCAAACATTGCATGTTTATATTGTCTAGGCTGTAGTGGGTTACACCTTAGGGGGTACACAAAGTTAGGGTTTCCTACTTGTACCAAACTCTGTTCTAGTTCATTCATTCCTGCTCAGTTATTTCTGACAGCGCAACCCGATCTTTGTTGGTAATTCTCTGCTAGAGTGTTCTAATCAGCATAACCACGATGTTTATGGGTTAAAAAAGTATATACAATGTTCTTATTATAGTCAACATGTTATATTTTAATAGACAGTGGTACGAGATATCGGACCCCCCACATTTGTGGCTGGGCCCTAATAAAGGTTTGTTTAGAACCCTTAATACATACGGCCAATTGGGCTGGAGTTGATATTTACATCAGTTATTTTTTATACCAAGCTA